TTTAGGGTAAGATCCTTACGATTGATAATCTAAGAAAAAGGGGCAATTGTCTTGTTAACTGGTGTTGCCTGTGCAAACAAGATGGTGAGTCAGTTGCTCACATTCTCATACATTGTCCTATGGCGAGGGATTGTTGGAATCTTATCTTTTGTCTGTTTGGTATGTGTTGGGTTATGCCTCGTTATCCTAAGCATTTGATTCGTATATGGAGAGGATGCCGTGTGAGTAGCGCTGTTCGCGATTATTGGAGAGTTATATCACATTATGTTTGGTGGTGCATTTGGAAGGAGAGGAATAGTAGAATGTTCGAAGGGAAAGAATAGTCCACGACGATTTTGAAACTTCACATCATACGCTCTCTCTTTTTTTTTTGATAAGTAAGATTTTATTAAAAACGCTCAAAAAGGGAGCGGAACCCAAAGAAACAAAAGGGCCAAAGGGCGCCTTAGACCTTCAAAGAGGCCAAAAAAACAATAATTTCCTCCGTAGATCTATAATCTCTCCCTGAAACCCAACAAAAAAGAGTAGAAATAACTGAGAACTTAAGCATAGAAACAGACTTCTCTTTTCCATCAAAATATCTCCTATTTCTCTCAAGCCAAATACACCACCAGATACAGAGCGGCGTAGACCTCCAAGCATCCTGAATGGAAGCCCCAACTGAGACGCCTCTCCAAGCCTCAATCAACCCTCTAGAGGAACACAGCATAGCCCAATGGACCCCAAATAAACCAAGCATCAAATCCCAACAATCTCTGGCCATGCTGCAATGTAAAAGGAGGTGATCAACTGACTCCTCATTGCATAAGCACATATAACAATGATTGACTACCACCTGATTCCTCCTCCTCAAATTATCCTAAGTTAAAATCTTACCCAGGACGGAGGTCCATGCAAAAAAAGCGACCTTGCGGGGAGCCTTGGAACGCCAAATAGACTTCCAGGGGAAGGGGTCTCCGCGACCAAACGAAAGGCATCTGAAAAAAGACCTAAACTCAAAACGGCCTTGCGAGTTAGGAACCCAGAACCAACGATCCAACTCCCCAAACGATATCACCTGGCTATACAGAAGCTCCAGAAAGCGAGAAACATCCTCGATCTCCCAATCATGAAAATGCCTCCTGAACTGAACATTCCAAGTCAGTCTCCCGTTATCAAGATGATAACAGTCAACAACCATGGCCTGTCGGTGAGAAGCAATCCTGTAGAGCCGTGGGACAGCGAGAGCAATAGGGAGTTCCCCACACCAGAGATCCTTCCAAAAACTGATCCTTCTTCCATCTTTAATTTGAAAACGAACATGCTTGCAGAAATCATCCCAACCCCTCCGAATGAAATTCCAAACTCCCACCCCCCTTGGACCACGCCTCGCAAGAGAGCACCACCCACAGCTACTTTCCCCAAATTTGCTCGCAATAACTCTCCTCCATAGCCAATGCCTCTCTATCCCAAACCTCCAGAGCCATTTACCAAGGAGAGCCTTGTTAAAAGTTAATAACCTCCTTAACCCTAAGCCTCCAAACCGAATTGGATGGCACACTTGATCCCACCGAACCAGGTGCCCCCCCCAAACACACACACAAAGGAAATTGCATTGCAATCTTTCAATTCTCTCAGCCACTGAAGAAGGAATCTGAAACAGAGTGATGAAGTAAGTAGGAAGGCTAGAAAGGGTGCTCTTAATCAAGGTAACCCAACCCCCCTTGGACAGGTACTGCTTTTTCCAACCAGCCAACCTCCTCTCGAATCTATCCACAACCAGATCCCAACTCCCCACACATCTTGAAGGGACTCCCAGCGGCAATCCTAAGTAAGAAATGGGAAAAGAGCCAGTGCAACATCCAAGGATCTGAGCAAACATCTCAATCTCAGGAACATCCCCAACAAGCACAAGAAGACTCTTGCCCACATCAACTTTAAGGCCAGAGACAACTTGAAACCTAATCAAAACGCATCTCAAATACCTCAATTGGGACGCATCCGCATCACAAAACACAATAGTGTCATCCGCAAACATCAAATGGGAGACCTCCAATTTGCTAGCAACATCCCTGCCCACTCGAAAACCTCTCAAAAAACCCAGCTCCACAGCCCTCTTCAGCAATCTGCTAAGAGCCTCCATCACAAAAAGGAACAAGAAAGGGGAAAGCGGATCCCCTTATCTCAAGCCCCTTGAGCTAGAGAAAAAACCCGTCGGAGCTCCATTCACAAGGACAGAGAACCGAGCGCTTTTAATGCAGAAAAGAATCCATCTCCTCCACCGTTCACCAAAACCCATCCTCTCCAACAGGTAGATAAGGAAACTCCAGCTCACATGGTCGTACGCCTTTTCAATATCCAGCTTACAAAGAACACCCGGAACACCGCTGCTCAAACGAGAATCAACACATTCACTAGCAATAAGAACTGAATCCAAAATCTGACGACCTCCCACAAAGGCATTCTGAGAGTCAGAAATGACGCCGTCCATCACCTTTTTCAATCTAGAGGCCAAAACTTTCGCTATCAACTTGTAAAGACATCCCACCAAACTAATAGGGCGGAAATCTCGAACATCCATTGCCTCTCCCTTCTTCGGAATAAGAGCGATAAAAGTTGCATTCAAACTTTTCTCAAAAGAGCCCTGAACATGGAAAGCATGAAAAGAGCCCATCACCTCCTCACGAACCACCTCCCAACACTCCAAAAGGAACCTCATAGTAAAACCATCCGGTCCAGGGGCTTTATCCCCATTACAACTTTTCAGAGCAGAGAGAACTTCCTCTTCTGAAAAAGGCTCTTCCAATACAGAGCACTCCTCTCCCGAAACAGAGTCAAAGTGAAGCCCTTCAAGCAAAGGACGCCAACCTGTTGATTTAGTGAACAACTTCGAAAAGTACTCAGAAAAACTATTACAAATCTCCTCCTCTTTACTAATCAACACCCCATCCACCCGAATCCTCCCAATGTGGTTGCTCCTTCTATGAGCATTTGCAAGTCTATGAAAGAATTTAGTGTTATTATCACCTTCCTGATGCCACAGAGCTCTAGATTTCTGTCTCCATGAGATCTCCTCCATAACAGCAATCTCAGCAAACTCTGCTTAACACTCCACCCTCCTACGCTTCAAAGGAACCGTCAAAAGACCCAGGCTCTCCATCTTATCAATATCAGCAATCTCATAAAGAACTCGATTCTTTCTCCAAGCTAAATTACCAAAAACCTCTTTATTCCAAACTTTGAGATCATTCTTCAAAAAACGCAACTTGCCTGCCAAAGAATGACTAGGAGTGCCAGCCACTCCATACCCCGCCCACCAGGATTGGACTTGCTCCAGAAAACCATCAGCCCGGAGCCACATATTCTCAAATCTAAAAGGAGATCTTCTGCTATGCAGCCCGCCGCAATCCAACAACAACGGAACATGGTCAGACAAAGGACGGGCCAAAGTGGCCTAAACAACATCAGAAAATTTCTCCTCCCAATCACTCGACACCAAGAATCTATCAGGGCGAGAAAGAGACGGAGGAAAATGACCACTGGACCAAGTGAAAGGCCCACCTACCAAAGACAAATCAAGCAAACAGAAAGCATCAATAAACTCTGAGAAAGCCATCGTAACAGCTGTCCACCTACCCCCTGTCGACCTCTCAAAAGGGGAACGCACCACATTGAAATCCCCCCCGATACACCAAGGCATCGACCATTGCCTACGAATCTCCCCCAGCTCCTCCAAGAGCAAATGGCAATCACTATCCTCCGTAGGCCCATAGACTCTAGAAAAAACCCAGCGAAAGCCATCCTCCACCATGGACAGAACACAAGACGCCAAGAAAAGCCCAACCTGAGAGTACGACAAAGAGATCCAACGGATATCCCACATGATCAGAATACCACCCGAAGAGCCAATCGCATCCAAGGCAAACCACTCCACGAATCTCCCACCCCACAAACTTCGAACAATCACATCCGACATCGAGGCAATCTTTGTTTCTTGAAGACACACAAGATGACCGCCCGCTTTTCGAATCACCGATTTCACCACTTTCCTTCTAGCCGGGTCGTTAAGACCCCGGACATTCCATGAAAGAATTTGAAGCTTCATAAGGAAACAGTAGTGTTGACCGACTCATCCTTCCTTCCACTGGCCTTCTCCCTAACCCCCTTCCTCCTCCTTTCATAAGTAACAATGGTCGAAGGACTTAGACTCTCTTCCTCCTCTCTCTCCACTGGAACACTCCCCCTCTTTTGGAAACGTTCCACCACTGTATCCCAAATAGCAATTCTCCTCGTACAAGAACCCAAGGGCAGCCCCAAATATGAAAACGGTAAAGACTCAACTCTGCAACCCAAAATAGCTGCCAGATCATGAATGTGATCCACCTCCCCCACTGGAACAATCACACTCTTGCCAATGTTAATCTTCAGCCCAAAGACAACTTGAAAACAGCCCAGTACACACCTCAAATGCCTCAAATGAGTCACACTCGCATCGCATTGAAAATATGATGATTTTTGTGGATAGTTTGAGGATATAGCATATTGTTTTGTTTGTGAGAATTGTATTTAGGATCAACTCCCCATTTGAATGTTTTTTTATGATATGTTACTTATCACAAAACAAAAACAACTAACACACACACACACACACACACACACACAAACACAAAAAAAAAAAAAAAAAAGAAAGACATTTGCTATACTCCCTTGATTTTTGTATACAATGATCACCTCTACTTATAAGTGAAATGAGAAAGACTTGTAACTAAAGAATAGAAAATACTTGCTCTACAAGTATTCTTCCTTTACAAGTATTTTTAATAAAGGAATTACACAGAAAGTCAAATACAATTATGGTAACAAGTGTCATAGCAATATTTTGCCAAGGAGTAATTTAAGTAAGGATTCTTATAATAATATTATCCAACATAGAGCCTTTAGATCACATAACTTGCACTAAAATTATCATTCGAATGAAAAGTAGTAAAAAATGAGGACACATGCATCATAGACACACTTACCTGGACGCCCGACAAGAATAGGTTCATCAGTAGAAAAGGCATTACTCTCAACATCGGTTGCATCAATGCAATTCGTAAACCATTGCGACCTGTCGCAAATGTTCCTCATCATCATTTGTCGCTAACAATAAAGATATTCAGTCAGCCAAATTTAACATATGAAGATGTAATTTTCACTTAAATTTGGTCTCCTACAAAAGATCCAAATTCAAGCCCAAACCAAGGAAAAATGAAAGTCTTGGACAAATAGATGGAAAAAAATTGCTAAACATATGAAGAACGTAGTAAAAGGCAACTTATTCAAGACAAATAGTCACATTGATCGAGTTGGGATCATCATCATTTTATTTTATTTTATTTTTATAACTTTGGGATCATCATCATTATCCTTCCCTTTATCCCATATAAATGGAATTGGTCATACCTATTCTCTTATTTCATTCTTTGCTATTGAAATCCATTTTGCCCATTATATTTATTTTTTCAATGAAGTCTAATTATTCTATCCCATATTGATTAGCCTAGCTATTTCTCTTTTCTTAAGACAAATGAAAACACAAAAAATCATCACCTCTTTAAAATGGAAGACTATGAACGAAGTCTAGTTCACATGAACATCTTTTCTTGTTTACCACTAAAAACCTCTCGTAAGGAATGAATAACAAGAGAAGTACGTTCTCCTTCATAGTATTATAAATCCTTGAAGATTCAAGAATAAAAAATATTACTTTGTCATTATTTGTTTAATCATTTCCACACTTCTAATCCAAACAAATCCTAGTCTCCCCCAACCCAAAAATAAATAAATAATAAAAATAAAAAAAAAATTAAAACACGGTCCAATTATAATCGATTAGAGTGGAGCATTCCTTATCTAATTGAATAACTCTATTGATTTTAATAATGGTCATTTTTTTAGGTCACACAAGTTAACAGTTGTAAACTTGTTATAATGTGTTTTGAATTTGAGTAGGCAACCGTAAATTCTTCTAAAGTTCACCTGATGCTAAAGTATGCACCATTTGCCTATTTCGTGTTGCTATCTAAAATTCCATCAAAATAATATCTATTCTAACTTGGATTCTTCATCAAACTTCCAAGAAAGTGGAAAGAAAGCAAAGAGACTTAACTCCAATATGAAATCAAATCTATAATTCCAATTATTATACCACAAAAGAAGTCTTGGTAGTTGCTGGATATCATATTTACAAAGAATGAATGTGGTTTACATTTCAAGTCTTAACAACTATCCCAGATGATTCACATCCAAATAAAACCCCTTACATTAATTGAGCTACAATAAAGATGGCACACCAGATTGTGCCTTGCAAAAGGTCCTGAATATAGAAGAAATATAAAAAGAAGAAGAATGAGAGAATTGTGTAAAGACTTGAATGAGATAAATCACTCATTCACAGCTCTAATATTTATAGATAAAAGAGCACATGCTCATATAATAAGAAAGAAAATTAAATCAAATCACAGCATATTTTATAGCATATTCAATGGCATATTCTATAGCATAATTAAATCTCTACTAATATGGTAAGTCATTCCATAAATCGTGGCTATCATATCTGCTAACACTCCCCCTCAAGTTGGTACGTGGATTTTTGAAACGCTCAACTTGAACAATGCATTCTCAAACACAGTCTTTGTAAGAATGTCTACAAGCTGCTGAGAGCTTGTGAAAGCTGGTGACAAATGGAGTGCAAATTTGACCAGAGATGATCTTTTCTCGAATGAAGTGACGGTCCACCTCTATATGCTTAGTCCTGTCATGTTGAACGGGATTTGTTGATATGCTAATGGCAGAGTTGTTGTCACAGTAAAGTGAGAATGGAAGTGACACTGGAAGGCACAAGTTTGTCGTTAAGGTTTTCAGCCATAGCAACTCACATACCCTAAGAGCCATAGCCCTATACTCTTCCTCTGCATTAGATCAAGAGACAACATCCTGCTTCTTACTGTGCGAAGTAACCAAATTGCCACCAATAGTGGTACAATAGCACAAAGTGGACCTCCCATCTAAAACTGATCCTGCATAATCAGCATCTTTCCAAGCCTCAACACATAAGTGACCATGATTGGAAAACAAAATACCACCGCCTGGACACCCCTTTAACTAACGAAGAATCCGAATAGTTGTATCAAGGTGAGGGGCACGAGGAAGTGCATGAATCGACTCATAACACTCAGCATAAGCAATATAAGGTCAAGTCATGGATAAATAGATAAGCTTCCTAACAAGTCATTGTTACTGACCAACATCCGACAACAACTCCCCCTCAGAATCAGCCAACATGATTCTATTCAATCAGAATGTCAGTAGGACAAGCGCTAAGCTAACCAGAAGCAGAAAGCAAGTCAAGAACATACTTGCATTGAGAGATTAAAATGCCAGCTTTGAAGCGAGCCACCTCAATGCCCAAGAAGTATTGAAGGGGGGACCGAGATCTTTAATCTCAAACTAATGGCCAAGATAGCTCTTAACCTCAGCAATTCCGGCAGTATCATCTCCAATAAGAACAATATCATCGACATACACAATGAGAGCAATAGTCTTACCGCCTGAATGACATAAGAACAATGTATGATATGTTGCACTCTGATGGAAACCAAACTAAAGCATGGCAGTGTTAAAGCAATTAAACCAAGCTCGAGGAGATTGCTTGAGGACATACAGGGAGCGACGAAGACGACAAACCATACCAGAATGAGCAGGAGAACGAAAGCCCAGAGGGGGAACGATATACGCCTCCTCCTGCAAATCACCATTGAGAAAGGCATTCTTGACATCTAACTGAAATAGAGTCCAAGATCGAATTGCAGCAAACGGAAAATAATACACGAATGGTATTCATCTTGGCAATAGGGGCAAAAGGCTCCTAATAATCTATGCCATAAGTCTGAGTAAGGATGGCAATGGGACTGAGTTGGGACGGGCTTGGTTAAACCGTACTCTGCCCCGTTAGAAAATCTATCACACCAACTCCGCCCCTACTCCGGAATGGGTTTGTAATTGTTATACCATCTCCGCCCCTATTCCGATAGACAAAGTACCAACTCTACCCCATATACTCCGTTTAATTGCGGGGCGCGGCGGGGGCGGGCCGGGTTATGCCACTTTATTACGTAGTAAAAAAAAACTAGCCCAATGTGCTCAAATTGGACTGAAAAATAAGCTAACCCAACTTTTAAATTACTAACTAGTGAATATTAATATATTAACGGACACTTCCAACAAAGTAACAAGAGTCTTAAAAATATAAAATATATATTTTATATATAAACAAAAATAAATAAATAAATAATTAATTAATTAAATTAAAGGTACATATATAATCGGGACGAGGCCATTACTAAATCCGCCCCCGCCCCAAACTCGCTTCGGGTTTTCAATTATTTTACCATACCCGTCGCAAATCCATTTAGGGGCCACTAAATCCGCCCCTGCCGGGTCGGAGGAAATTGCCAGCCCTAAGTCTGAGCATAACCATTGGCAACCAACCGAGCCTTGTAACGAGCAACTGACCCATCTAGATTATGCTTAACTACAAACACCCAAAGACAACCCACAGCCTTTTGTCCATAAGAAGCGGAACCATGTCCCAAGTCTCATTTTTCACAAGTGCTTATAGTTCTTCTATCATAGCATCACGCCATTTAGGTTTTGCTAGTGCATTTGCAACACTAAAAGGAAGAGAAACAGAGGCAACAGAAACAAGAAATTATAAATAGGGTAAGTAAAAGAACGTTTACCCTTCTAAAGAGCAATGGGGCGATTAAGGCAGTAATCTTACCTCCTTACCATCACTACTGGTCACCACAATATCATCCACGTACACGATCAATGCAGTAATCTTACCTCAAAGAAAATGTTTGAGAAATAGAGTGTGATCCGACTGGCTATGGTGGTATCCATATTTCTTCATGGGCTAAGTAAACTTGCCAAACCAAGTTCTAGGTGACTGCTTGAGTCTATACAAGGATTTTCTCAATCTGCATACCTTACCTCTTTTAAAGGGATTAACAAAGCCAAGAGAAAATTCCATGCATACTTCTTCCTCTAGATCTCCGTGAAGAAATGCATTCTTCACATCAAACTGTTGAAGAGGCCACTCTAAATTTGCAGCCAAGGATAAGGGGACCCTTATTGTATTTATCTTCGCCACCGGTGCAAATGTTTCCTAATAATCTATCCAATAGGTTTGGGTATAACCTTTACCTACCAATCTTGCTTTGAAACTCTCCACTGAACCATTTGTCTTATGCTTCACTGTGAATACCCATTTGCAACCAACTGTCTTCTTTCCCTCTGGTTGCTCAACAAGTTCCCATGTAGAATTTTTCTATAAAGCTTCCATTTCTTCAATCATGGCAACTTTCCACTTGGGGTTGTCAAGAGCTTCCTGTAACTTATTAGTGACAGACACGGATGATAATTGGTCTGCAAATATTTTATAAGATGAAAATAAACGATGTGAAGACACATAATGAAAGATGAGATATTTTACAACAGAAAAACCAAAATCAGAGGGAGGTTTTTTCTCGAGTGGGATAACGTGTCTGATTCTCAATAACTAATTTAGTAGCATCATGTGGTTGATCAAGTTGATCAATAGGTAAATGAGCTGACTCGTTAATAGAAGTATCAATAAAGATGGATCTAAATATAATATTATATATATAGCTCAATCTTCACATTCTTACTCGTGAAATTCGATTCATTACATATTTAAATACACATAGCAATTCTTAACAACTATCCCAGATGAACCAACAGGCCAGTGGCCAAGCGGTACCAAGCCTCTACTTCCTAAAGGGAGGTCAAGGGTTCGAGGGGTTTGAACCACGGTGGAGGCATGTGTGTGAGTACACCAACTAAGAAAAAAAAAAACCATCCCAGATGATTTACATCCAAAATCCTCACATTAATTGAGCAACAATACAGATGCCAAACCAGATTGTGCTTTGCAAAAGGTCCCGAATTTACAGCATTAGTAGCACAGGCCAATCAGCATTTCTATTTTAATTTTTTACTTCCTGCAAAGTATAACAACTTTCTCTATCAGTTTAGTGCATGATAAACACAACTTGATGTTTAAATTATGGAGGCAAAAATTGTCGGCACCGCTAAGAAAGAAGTTTGCAAAATGAATGTTTCTTTTGATGGAAGTTTTAAGGCTCTAAAACTTGGGATCAAATAAAACAAATCCTTTTAGCCACTATCATTCATCAAGGATATAATTTCCCCTATATAATATACCATCAAATATTACTGAACACCTCAACCAGCATTCTTTTTGGCCTACTTAATGTCCCCACTGTACCTCCAACTCAAAACATGTCACTCCTTGAAGAATTCATTCTTTATGTTGCACATGATGAAGAAATTTTAGATCACTCGTAGTTATAGACAGTTATCCTTAATTGGTATCACCTTTAGTTTCTAATAGACTTGCGCATTCTAATACTATCCTATACTGTATTATGCAAATGCATGAAATTATGAACATGTTGCTGCTCATCTATTTAATATCACCATTTTAGTAGTATTTATCTACTGACTATTGCTACCTGAGAATCCACAAACTATTCCATGGAGCAGATTCCATAGCGAAAGTTGATACTTCTTGGACATGAATAAACAAATATTGAATGGCTTACCCGCTTACCCACCTGACATGTGACTGAATAATATTTGACATTGAGATATACCCTTTTAGCATGAATTATATGTATAGCTCACCCTTCGGATTTTTACTAGTGAAATTAGATTCATTACACATTTAAATACTTATAGCAAGTCTTAATAACTATCCCGGATGAATCACATCCAAATTCCTCACATTTGTTGAGCTACAATAGTGATACCACACCAGATTGTGCCGTGCAAAAGGTCCCGAATTTATATCACATTACTAGCACAGACCAATCAGCACTTCCATGTTAAATTTTCACTTCCTACACAAGTTTAACAGCTGTTTTCTATCAGTTTAGTGCATGTTAAACACAATATGATGTTTAAATTATGGAAGCAAAAATTGTCAGCAGCACTAAGAAAGGAGTTTTCAGAATGAATGTTTATTTTCATTGAAGTTTTAATGCTCTAAATCTTAGGGATCAACTATGCAAATCCTTTTAGCTGCTATCGTTCATCAAGGACTATATTGACCCCCTTATATAATATACCCTCAGAGATTACTGAATACCTCAACCTGCATTCCTTTTGTTGAATTCATTCTCCATAATGCACATGATAAAGAAATTTTAGATCAATCACAGTAATCCAGTTACCCTTAATTTGTATCACCTTTAATTTTTGATAGACTCATGCATTCTAATACTATACTATACATGTGTATGTATATGTTCTAATACTATACTATACATGTGTATGTAAATGTTGCCGCTCGTCTATTTAATATTGCCTTTTCAGTGGCATTTATCTATTGACTATTGCTATCGGAGAACCCACAGACCATTCCTTGGAGAAGATTCCATAAGGAAAGTTCATACTTTTTACTTATCACAAAAAAAAAAAAAAAAAAAAAAAAAAAAAAAAAAAAAAAAAATTCATACTTTTTAGACATGCATTGACAAATATTGAATGTCTTACCTGCCTGACATGTGACTGAATAACATTTGTCATTGAGTTATAACCTTTAAGAATGAATTATATGTATAGCTTACCGTTCATATTTTTACTCGTCAAATTTAAATACCACTTACTGGGTCGCTTTCGTCGTAGTAATTCCCCGGGTACTTCTCCTCATCCACCTCTTCTTCATGTTTCACCTTGCAGGGGGATGCTGGCCCTTCTTCCAGAAAACAATTGAATGCTCCGTTTTTCTTACCTTCAGAGTCCAAATCCGAACCGTTAGTTTGAATACCTGACTCGAAATTGGAGCAGAAAGTAACGAAGGTGCGGAGGGAACGAATAGCCATTCGAGAGAGGAGCTTCGAGTAGGTTGTGTCGACAGTTCTTAATGCCATTGTTGCAATGTCTAGGGTTTTTGGGTGTGTGTGAGAGAGAGGGGAAGCGTTATTTTTTCCTTTTGGGCAGGTGAAGTAAAGTAGGTGATCCGGCTAGCGAAATCTCGTTTGAGCAGCTCCAACGCAGGCCTTTAAGGCGATTTTGGGCTGACTTTAGCGATCGCAGGCCTGCCATGCGGGTTCGCATCTGTTTTCTATTGTTTTTTTGCTTTTGACCCAGAATAGTGTTTTAGCTCAAAATACTATTCCTAAGGCCGTGTTTGGCTGGAAAAAAAAAAAAAAAAGCTAAAAAACAGATTTTTGGATTATTTTGGTCTCTCTTTTTTTTCATTTATTAAAAAATTTATATGCACATACTAAATGGTAAGGGTGTTTTTTGCACTTTTTTTTTTTTCTTTTTTTTTTTTTTTTTGGCAGTTTAAACATTTTTTTTACTAAAAATTTATTTTATCATATGCTAGTATCCCCAAACTAAATTTCTGATTCCTCTGTGTATATATACATTCATTGTATCACAGTCTGATCTCATTATAAAAATTTCTTCAAATAATTTCTCTATAAGTGATTTAATATACAAATAAAACACTCTGTATATCTATATACCCATTAAGCTTAGTGCAAATAACGCATCACTAGGCAATCTTACAACCTTAATCTTCCTCTCTATTTCAATCTAAAATTAATCTTTGGAATAAGTTACAATTCTATTCAGAGAGCTCTCTCTTTTTCTTCATATATAATTACACACATATATATATTAGATGGGGCTGAAAAGTCTCTTCAATCCAAATATTGATTAATGCTAAGAATTGTTATTTTTATTTTTTGAGTAATGTTAATAATGATAAATAAACTTATATTATGTTAATGTTTAAACTGCAAAAAAAGTTAAAAATAAAAATTTTAAAAATATTAAATATTAATATTTTTGGAGAGCGAAAATGCACTATTGGAATACATGTGGTAGCTAAAATTTGGAGACTCTAAAACGCTGACGTGGCTATGGGAAATACTGAAGTGGCTATCGAAAAATGCCAATGTGACAAATTCAGAAAGCCAATTGAAGATGCTCTTAGATGCCACAAATTTTGACCGCCACAATTTATTTATTTATTTGTTTGTTTTGGAAGTTAAAAGCAATTGACGGCTTGATGCCTCCACTGGTCCAAATCCCAAACCTCCCATTCGAAGAGGAAGGATGGTACCGCTCGACCACTTGATCATTTGGCCACAAATTTTTTAGGACTAATTGCACTAGCACTTTTTGAGATTTCGGTCAATTTTACTAAAACGGTTAATCAATGCTATTTTGGACAATGACACCCCTCGAGGTTTCAAATGACATATTTGTTCCTTAATATTTTATTTGATTAACTCAAAAAATATCAGGCTTGTTAAATTGCTAAACTACCCCTCATCAATTTCCTCTCTCAACGTGTCTCCCCCTTTTTGATCATTCTCTCTTTGCCATCCCAAAACACCACTGCTGCCGCCGCCACCACAAAAAAAAAAAAAAAAAAAAAAAAAAAAAAAAAAATCAAAAATCAAAATAGACCAAAACACCATCACAGCCCCCACCACAACTGCCGCCACCACCACCACCACAATTAGACAATACCACCACCACTACGAGACACCACCTTAATAGAAAAAATTTATATAAACAACCCCAAACACCACCACCACCACCATAGAAAAAACAAATAAGAATAGCCATGGCTAACCCAATAACACCACGACCTCCCGCCCCAAGCGTGAGAAGAATCTGAAGAAGCGTGTTCATTTTCAACAGCGAGGTCGATGTCGATGCCAACTACAACAAGCTCCTCTCCGGCAAAAGTGGTATCACGCCCATCGACCTATTTAATGTGTCCAAATTCCACACCCGATTCAATAAGTCTAATGGAACCATTATGGGGTTCAACCAAGCAATTGAGAACCAAAAAGCCCTAGCAATTGAGAACCAGAAACAGGTTGCGGTAGCACCGCCACCAGCGTTGCCGCCATTAAGCATTTACTACTCCGCTACCGCGAAAGCTAAGATCCCAGTTTGCTGCCACCCTCACCACGAGGAATCCCAAATCGAACCCAATTCGTATACATATACATATACGTACATTACCTTCACATATATATATATATATATCACCACCGGTGATACCCTTTAATTTTAGAGACATGGGTTGATCAAGTCCACATTCAGAAATTAGGGGATATCAAAACAATTAAGTATTTAAACAAGCACATATTACAAAGTGAAATAAAAGAATAAATAATACGCTGAAGAAAAACTAATAAATAATAATTTTATTAATTAATAATCCTCCAAAAGTTACAACTTAGGAATCCTGTAACTCAAAGACCCCTTGACCAAAATCCACTGTCCAGAAATCCATAAATAAAAATTATAGTGAAATGACATACTAATATCCTACTTTGAAATAAACAAGAGTAAATGATAAATAAGCCTCTAAGTTGCGGATCCTCAACCTCGATACTTGAACCTCTAAGAACCTGAAAGATAAAAATAATGGTGGATCAAAACCCACGAGCAAACTCCCTTTACTAAGCCTCTAAAAACCGATAAATAGTCCATCTCTAACCAAAATCAATCACAATAAAGTTTTATCTTTACAATATACAACATCAAACGTAATAAATAAATAAATTCCCCAAGTCCCAAAACATAAATAACAATATATATATATATATAACATTGGACAAATTAACCTCTTTTAGAAGTTTATCTTGTAAAGCTTAATTTAATTAAAATGTCTTATACTCTTATGAACCATAATAAATAAATTACTCTTATAATGGAATATATTTCTCCTAATTATAATTAAATTATCACTGGTAACTCTACCATTCCTTAAAGAGTATGTTTATGTCTATACAATTTAAATAGTAATTTATCTATTCATTGGCAACTCAGTCATGCCTCCACCAGTATAATTTTGTCCATACTATATAATAGCAAATTCTCCATACTATTAATGTGTGTATTTTGTTCACACAATTAAATGGTAGTCTGTTTATGCCATGACAACTCATCCATGCCTCCGAATAAACCACCATCAACATTTTTTTAGTAAATACAACATGCATGCAATAGATAACATATGCTTTATATATATATATATATATATATATATATATATATATATATATATATATATATACATAAAAATTACTTCCATATTTTACATGCCAATGTATCAAATCATCATTACCATATATAGCCATGATACATTATGTAAATACAATCATAGACATGCCTTATAGATCATAAATTTCAATAAACATCATTTCATTCCTCAATTAGTTACTTACGAAAGAGAGAGAACAGGAGGAGAGAGAAAAAGGGAGATGAGAGACAATAGGAGGAGAGAAAAAAAAAAAAAAGATAAAAGGGAGGAGAGATAAAAACAAGAATAGTGAGATATTAATATTAATAAGAGTTAAGGGCAAAAAATACTTCTGTTGTTCAATAAACTCCTTTACATTTTTTTAATTTGTGCAAATAAGGACTTTTGATGAAATTAAACAATGAATTGACTAATGTACTCTTATAACAAAATAAAAGAAATAAAATAGATTTTGTATATAGATATATATGTTTAACACACACATATCTCTCTCTCTCTCTCTATATATATATATATATATATATATATACGCCTCTGAATTACCGTCTTCTTCAATGCCACCATTAGTCGAACCATCGCCGCTGGGGTCAATATTGCCATCATCGAATCTTCGTTGCTACTCCTACAACTTCATTGCATGCATTGTTCTAGTTTTTATTCAATCACAACTCCATCGCACAGCCGATGACTATATCGCAAGTTCTCATCAACGTTGTTGCAACTCCATCACAGAGCCGGCGACTCTTGGTCGCGTGCACTTCAGACAACTCCAACAAGCTAATCATGCAACTCGTATCGGGTCTCGATTTGAGTTCAATCGACGATCAAAAGCAAGCTCCGATTACAAGGAATTTTGGATCACCGGAATTGGGTATGTGAAACTCCACATATGCATATTCGATCACATATATGAAAAGATTTTCTTTGAAATGGTTGAAGGAAGTGTTGTCTTTGATTGATGATATTGTACAAATATATATATGGAACAAATTGAAAAAACACACCGCAATTATAGCACACTAATGGAGAAATTCTATAAGCTATTTTTGCACAATAAATCATACGTGCTAGTTGTGTGAAATAATGGAAGGTTGAGAAAAATCTTGCTAGCTGTATGGAATAATGGAAAGTTGACAAAGATCTTGTTTTTGGGAACTTATAGAACCGCGTCCAGGATTATAGGGATGTAATACTTGGTTAAGCATTGAATTGATCTTGTGGCTGTTAGCTTCCATATCTGCACCTATATTAATATCCTTATTTTCCTTAATATGCCCCCTCAAGCTGGCGTGATAATTTTGATGAACACCCAGCTTGCGTCAAAATAACGAAAACACATCATTTGACAGAGGCTTTGTGAAGATGTCCGTCAGCTGTAAAACAGTAGAAATAAATTGAGTAACAAGAGTTCCCATAGCAACTTTTTCACGAACAAAGTGGTAATCAAATTCAATGTGCTTGGACCGAGCATAGAACATAGGATTTGCAGACATATGTAAGTCACTAATGTTATCACAAAATGATTGAGGTGGTTTAACTAAAGACACACCAATATCTCTTAAAAGAAAGGTTAGCCAAGTTAATTCAGCAGCCACAAAAGCCATGGACAGATATTCGGCTTCGATACTAGATCGGGCTATGGTCAGTTGCTTCTTGGAACACCAAGAAATATAGTTGGCTTCGAGAAAAACATAATAACCCGCTATACTCTTTTTTGTTGGGGGACAACCTGCCCAATCGGCATCACTAAAATCATACAATGAGATAAGACTTATAGAAAGATAGAGGAGGCCGTAATGTTGAATATCCTTTAAATATCATAGTATCCGTTTAATAGCTTTCAAATTGGCCATTGTTAGATGACTAAAGTGTTGACAGGCCCGATTTACAGCATGAACAATATCAGGCCTAGTGAACATCAAATATTGTAAAGCACCCACAATACTGCAAAAATTAGTGGCCTCTATAGCAACATTATCGGATGAACTTGAGTGATCCTTGAGAGCTTGTGGTGTGGTAATGGATTTACTTTC